GTGCCTGCACTCTGTGCATGCCTCTCGCGTACCAACCAGACAATGTATGGAGGGAAATTGAGTCCATGCCACGAATGGTGCATATGTTGAATGTGTGCCCAAATGTACCCTAATAATGTGTACTCATATGCCAACTATAACTTAAGCATATTACCTATGAGTTGTGTACATATTCTTCTGCTCACATTCTTCATTAAAAATATATGGCACCTCACAGTTGTTACATTTCAATGTGTACATCTTGTATTATCTTTCAATTCTACTATCTTTGTTTAGATAACATGAACTTTTATACATTTCAAATGATTATCAAGGAATGGAATTTTTGAAAACAGCTCTATTGTTTGGAGAACCATTATGCTACACTGATAAAATTTTGCCAATCCTGGGTACTGTCCTCTTTTGAAAAGTGGAACCCCCAAGAACTACTGCCTTTTGTAGTACCATTGATTAGATAAGAAAAGCAGAGAGAGGCTGATTTGATTCAGAAAAGCAGAAAAGCTTGTGTGCTTATCGCTGTGTGTTGATCTCATGAGCTATTTATAACCTTACCAAGCAAGCAAGCTGAGCAGTCAGATGTGATAAGGAACGAAGGAATACCTGTCTTCACTGTACTGCTGAGCAACAATGTGGGCTCAGCATGTGGTTTCTCAGAGTGAGCAAATACCTAGACAACTGTACTCTCTTGCTGGGGCCTAATTGTTACTGTTAGAGGGGAAAGTATTTAAAATTTCATTCCCATAAAATCATATTAAAGATTAGGTTTGATCCAATTGAAGCCTGGTGATATGCAATTTGAACTCCGAATGCAAGTATCTCTATAGACTGGAAGAATGTAACTCATTCAGGAGTTATATTTATAACCCATTTGGAAACAGAAAAGACTAAAAAATGTGATTAATCTAAATAACTGCTAACGAGGCAGAGTGATTGTTTAAATTTAAATACAACTGTATTTTGATAAGCCAGAATCTGTTTATCCAGTGCAGGAGAAATATAAGTTCATTCAGAAGATAAGACTGAGCCATGTCTCTTGATCAATTTTTATTGCATTTAGAGTTCTTTTTGCTTTGAGGCTCTGTTGTAAAATGTGAATGTGTCGGAAGGATAGATATTTCATGTAGCAAAACTTGTTTTACTTCAATAGTGTATCTTTCTTTTTATTTGGAAAAACTTACAGGGGTGTTTTATCAGGTAAATTGTGACAATTTAAGTTTTTTTGCAAAATCTCTTGGAAAAATTTTTTCTGTAACTCAGAGCAGTAGCTATCTAATCAGTAATAGAGGGGCTACCTAATCAGGAAAAAAAAGGGGCAAAAGGGGATAGGTGAGGGGAACGGGAATTGGGTTAGTGAGTGTAGAGAAGAGAGAACTGTAAAAGAGAAATCAATAAAGCAAGTCCTGTAATACACAAATATCATCTAGTACACAAAATAAGTTATCTTACAATTTCAACTTGCATGGAAGAAAAATATATCCCAAAAATGAGATATTGCATGTGCTATTTTGATTTGATTTGGCATGAAATGATATTTCCATTACTAAAGCCTTCTGTATTGATCTCCTAACTTCCTTTTTATTTTTTTTAAAACTTGGACAGTTTGTGCTTTGTCTTTTCATCTCTGTTTTGTTGGGTTTGATTTGGTTCCCCCTCTCCCCGCCCACTAGACAGTTAGACGTTTTCCATCTCTTTACTCTTTTCAGCATCACAATGTTTGTTGCTACTTTTGTGGGGTGATATTCTCCTCCTCCCTTCCCAAAGTTTGACACCCACTTTGATCTTTTTAGAAGCTTTTTTTTTATCAGCACTTGCTTGTGGTATGAATCGCCTGCTTTTTGTTCAGAAAACGTTATTAGTGTTCCAGCAGTGCTGGGATGGCTTTTATCTCCCTGTGGAATCTCATTAGCTTCACATCACAATAGGAACAGCATATGTGCATCTATGCCAAAGTAGCCAGTCAATTTGAATTTGTTAATGGCAGTATTTTTCTTCTAGCAACTTTTCCTACATCTTCAATGCTGAAAGAAAGCAACTTTGTTTTTCAGGGGGAAAATACTGTTCGTTAGAGATAGAAATATCAGCAGAAGAGGAACTGTTGTTCATAAACGTTTTTAGATCTGCCTTTTTTTTTTTTTAAATAAAATGGCAAGAATCAGCAGAAGAGGAACTGTTGTTCATAAACATTTTTAGATCTGCCTTTTTTTTTAAAAAATAAAATGGCAAGTAGGATTTGAAAAGTGACAAGGTTAATGTAATCTGTGATTTAAAGAAATGACTGGTTTAAAAGTTAGGAAGATGTAAATTACTATTGTTTGTTATTAGAGTAGACAAGTTGTATTACTAATTTCCATTTTATTGTGGTAGCTCTCTCAAAGACCCTGGTTACGATCATGATCTTATTGTGTTCTGCACAGCACATAATCATGGGAAGATATAGTCCCTGCCCTAAATAATTTATCATCTGAGGGCGGGATTCCGATACTCTTATTCACCATCAGCAGAAATTTACTCCATAAGTAGTTCCATTTAAATCAAAGGGGCTACTTTCTGAATAAGATATTAGTCTACATGAATAATTGATGGCAGAATCTGGCCCAAAGAAATTAGTGGGGGGGTTTTTTCAGTTAAAATTTAAGTTTTAAAACTGGATTTGATTAGGCTAAATTGGCCCAAATAATAGTATGGAAAGTTTGAGGCAACCAAATGCACTATGTGAATTAGAGAGAAGCTTGTGTCTCTTTTCTTTGGGGGCAGGGGAAACAAGAAAACAACTAACTGCTAGACAATGATATAATTTGATATTCTTCTATCCAGGGCGATGCTGGCGAGCACCATGAGATCATAGTCATAGATTTTAAAGGTCAAAAGAGATCAGTGTGGTTACCATTTGACTTATAGGGCATAAGCAGGAGAATTTCACCGGTAATTCCTGCATTAAGCCAGTAACTGGTAGTTGAGCTATAGCATATTTTAGAAGGCCCCTCAGTCTTGATGGAAAGACTTCAGTTATGGAATGTTTACCACAGTCCAAAAAAAATGCATCGTATTTTCAGTCTATAGCTGACTTCAGCTTCCAGCCATTGGCCTTTGTCATGCCTTCGGTAGATTTAAAAAGCTGTCTGCTTTCAGAAGCCTTCTTCCTATGTAAGTTGTTATAGATCAAGGGTTCTTCATTGCACCCTCACCCACTGCAAAAATAATTACATGACCCCAGGGGTGAGGACGACTGAAGCTTTGCCCTTCTAAATGATGGGGGGCAAAGCCCAAGTACCTCAGGGTGTGGGACAGGGCTAACGTCAAAACCTAAGCACGTCAGACCCTGCCCTCAGGTTTCAGCTTTGACTTCAAGCAACAGAGCTCAGGCCTTTGGCTCCAGCTCCAGCCTTAGGAACCAACAAAAGTCTAACTCCAGCCTAGGCGACTCCATTACATCAGGCTCATGACCCACTTTCAGAACTGCTGTTATAAACCGTGAACGTATTTGTGGATCCTTGGTTACAGACAAAATAAGAGGTGTGCTACATCCATAGGGTATGTCTACACTACCACCCTAGTTCAAACTAGGGTGGTAATGTAGGCAACCGAAGTTGCAAATGAAGCCCGGGATTTGAATTTCCCGGGCTTCATTTGCATCTTGCCGGGCGCCGCCATTTTTAAATGTCGGCTACACGCGGCACGGACTAGGTAGTTCGGACTAGGCTTCCTTCTCGTGAAACGAGGAGTAACGGTAGTTCGGAATATTTAAAAATAGCGGACATTTAAAAATGGCGGCACCCGGCAAGATGCAAATGAAGCCCGGGAAATTCAAATCCCGGGCTTCATTTGCCACTCCGGTTGCCTACATTACCACCCTAGTTCGAACTAGGGTGGTAGTGTAGACATACCCATATTGAGTTGATGTAAAGAACCTTAAATGGAACTTTTAAGAATTATGTGTTCTTTCTTTTCTTGTTAGTAGACAATATGCATTTTTCCATTAAAATGTGGTTCCATATGCAGATAAATAGATCTGTCAAATATGAAATCTTTGTTGGAAATAGTGGAATTGTTTTTTTTACATAGCTTGGCTTTTAAGAGGTCTTCCACCTCTTTTTCCAAAAGATTGTCTACCGATACAACTTTAAATTTAATATTGGAATCAAAACTTGAAAATAATTGTCCTCATCCAAAAAAGTGAAAATTGTGTATGAATAACATTAGTGATTTCTCAATTTCAACACTGTGGATCTTTTCCTCCATAGAGGAAATGAACAGGACTTACGAGAACTTAGGAAAAATGGCAAAAATAAACACATGCCTTTAAAGAAGAGAACACTTAAGATTTTCCTCTGAAAGCTGTTTGCTAGTGACTCCGCTTGTTAATGATTCTGTAGTGCTACACTGGGTTTCATTTGTAGAGCTGCAGTCAAGAGGGAATTATTCTATTCTTCTTCACTGTAGAAAGCTAAACTACACATTAGGCAAATGCCTTGATGTAGCTCTTTTTTAATATCACACTGTTATTTTCTCATAATTCTGCCTATTATAATAAGTTATATAGACCTCTATAGTTCTTTCCACCTAAGAATTCCAAAGTTCCTTACAAAGATGGGTCAGTAAACTGGGCCATTAAGTGATTCACTAGCAGAGTTAGGAAGAGAATCTATTTCTCCTGGCTTCCAATCCTCTTCTTTAACAATTTAAACCATGCTTTTTCCCTATATTATTAGCTATTACCATGATATTGCATTGTAAAGGTGCTTTTAGTTTTAATATTTGTGTATGAGAACACTAATTATATTTGTGTCTTAATGAGTGCTCTTCTGTAGAAAGCAGAAAAATGGGACTCTGAGAACACAAAACAAAGGTGTTTGTGTGGCTATCTGAACATATTGGATGTCATGTGATTCTTTCCACACATCTTCTCTTAGAGCTGTTATGCTGTTTCCATTTAAAGTAACACATCTTTGTTTGAAATAATGAATTAATAGGGAGGTATTTTCCTTCTGTTTGTGTCACAGGTGACAGATCATGCAACCACTGCTTTATTGCATTATCAGCTCCCCCAGATGCCAGATGTGGTGGTCAGATCCTTCATGGTAAGCTTATTTTAAAAGAAATTCTTCTAGCTGGACTTGAGCCTAGTGAGAGTGATTGATACCAGGCACTTTCTTACACAGCATAATTTGCCATATGTAAAGTGGTTAAAAATAATTATTTACTAAATTTCCTCAGGTCTTATAACTGAAGATGGTAACCAATGCTATTTGTAATTAACCCTCTTTTCAAAGTAAATAGTGCCATTCTCAGTACACTTCCAGTTTAATGACTGGAAGGTAGTTAATTTGGCAATTACAGGCTGGTAAGCCTGACTTCAGTGCAGGCAATTGGTTGAAACTATAGTAGAGGACACTATTGTCAGACATAGATTAACATAATTTTGTGGGGAAAGGTAAATGTAAGGTGGTCAACAAACATGTGGACAAGGAAGATCCAGTGGTTATGGTGTATTTAGATTTTCATAAAGCCTTTGACAGGGTCCCTCCCTATAGGCTCTTAAACAGAGTAAACTGATGGAATAAGAGGAAAGGTACTTTCATGGATTGGTAACTGGTTAAAAGACAGGAAACATAGGGTATAAATGGTCAGTTTTCAGAATGGAGAGAGGCAAATAATAGTGTCCCCCAGCGGTCTGTTCTGGGACCAGTCCTATTCAACAAAAATCAGAAATGATCAGGAAAAAGGGCTAAACTGAGGTAGCAAAATTTGCAGATGATACAAAACTACTCAAGAGAGTTAAGGCCCTCACAGACTGCGAAGAGCTACAAAAGGATATCTCAATATTGAGTGTCGGGGCAACAAAATGGCAGATGAAATTTAATGTTGATAAAATACAAATTAATGTATATTAGAAAACTTAACCCCTTCTATACATATAAAACGATGGGGTCTAAATGAGCTGTTACTGCTCAAGAAAATCTTGAAGTCACAGAATGTTGGGAATCATAAAGAAAGAGATAGATAATACGACAAAAAACATAATATTACCTCTATATACATACAAGGTATGCCCACATCTTGAATAGTATGTGCAGATGTGGTCACCCCATCTCAGAAAATATGTATTTGAAATTGGAAAAGGTTCACAAAAGGACAACAAAGATGATTCAGTGTATGGAACAGCTTACATATGAGTAGAGATTAATAAGATGGGACATTTCACCTTGAAAAAGAGATGACAATGTGGGGATATGATCGAGGTCTATAAAACCCTAACTGGTGTAGAAAAAGTAGATGAGGCATAAGACATGACAGAAGAACCAGGGGTCACCAAAGGAAATCAATAGGCAGCAGATTTAAAACAAATAAAAGGAACTATTTCTTCACAGAACACACAGTCAGCCTGTGGACCTCTGCCAGAGGATATTGTGAAGGCCCAGACTATAACAGGGATCAGAAAAGAACTAGATTAAATTCAAGGAGGATACGTTCTTTAATGGCTATTAGCCAGGATAGACTGGAATGGTGTCCCTAGCCTCTGTTTCCCAGAATGGGTAACAGAGGATGGATCACGTAGGCCACATCTCCACTTGCAGAAAGATTGACACTGCAGCAGTCGATCTTCCAACGTTCGATTTAGCGGGTCTAGTAAAGACTCACTAAATCGATCATATTCCTGCGCATCCAGAAATGTAATTTATGCTATCATGTGCCGAAAGTGTACATTGGACAAACGTCTCCGACACTTCGCCAAAGGATCAATGCCCACAAAACAGATATTAGACAGGATCACAAAGAAAAAATAGTTTCTTGCCATTTCAACCAGAAAGGACATTGTCTCAACGACTTAATTACCTGCATCCTGCTTCAAAAGCCTTTTAAGACTACACTTGAAAGAGAATCCTCTGAACTGTTATTCATGCTTAAATTCGACACTTTACACGTGAGTCTGAATAAACAATCTAATTATCTTACCCATTACAAAGATAGCTTCCCCAATTATCACCTCTAATATAATTAGCTCACAGACATTTACCTTCCACCCCCCCCCATGCCCCTTCTGTTCTGAAATTTGATTTGTCCTTTTCATATGTGTTCATTTTTTTTAATTGTATCCTTTGGTATATATGGTTGTGACTATTTTCTTCCACTATTTGATCTGAGGAAGTGGGTCTGGCCCACGAAAGCTCATCACCTAATAAACCATCTTGTTAGTCTTTAAAGTGCTACATAGTCCTGTATTAAATTGATCACTGAGGGTGCCCCCGTCAGCACTGGTACTTCTACACCTCATGAGGAGAAAGAGAAGTTGACGGGAGCATTTCTACCATCAGCCTCCCACTGTGGTTCATTCCCTCTGGGTCAACTGGCATTAGCCACTGTTGGAAGACAGGATACCAGCTAGATCAGGGTAGGCAAAAGGGCCTCTGCGGGCTGGATGCGGCTCGCCAAGTGGGTGGATCTTGTTCACGGAGACCCTGCCACTTCCTTGTCCCCAGGCCAATCAGGGCTTGGGAGCCAGGGAACGTGTGGTGCTTAGTCAACCATAGCAGTTCTCTCTATTCACTGCGCACCCGACGGCCGGGAGCAACAGACTTTGTGCATTCCCCCTGCCCCCAGGCTATGATTGGAGACTTTGTGTGTTTCCCCCGCCTTGGTCCTGATTGGGCTGGGGGGAGTGTTCAAAGTCTCCTTCCATTACCAGGGGCACAGGCACCTAGAAGGAACTGCCAGCTAGTGGTTCCCTCTGCGGGGGACGGGCAAAGGCTTCACATGCTTCCTAACCCCCAGACCAAACAGAGTCTATGGGCAGGTACGCACGGCCTGTCCCTGTCCCTTCTGCCTGAGGCCCCGCCCCTTCCGGGGCAGCCCAGGCCACTTCAAACATTTCTGAAGTGGCACCCGGTCAAATCATTTTCCTCTCCTGAGCTAGATGGACCTTTGGTCTGACCCAGTATGTCTGTTTTATGTATTCGAAGATTTCTATATATGCAACTGCATAACTCATTATAGCTCTCAGTATTTGCTTGCTAAATCTTACCTTTGAAGCTGGTCTGGGGTCAGCTGTGAAACTAACATACAAATGAAGCCAAATTCTCAGTTATGATCTGTCCTCTTTAAACTCTAGGGCTGTGTCTACATTGGCACCCCTTTCGGAAAAGGGATGCTAATGTAGCACGTTGGAATAGGCAAAGTAGGAATAAGAAATCCTCCGGAAAAGGCTTTATTTTCCGGAGAATAACGTCTAGACTGGCGCTTTTCTCCGGCTTCAGCCATGTTAATGCAAATGCCGCGGGGGATATTTAAATCCCCCGCGGATTTGCCTATTCCAAAGTCTACATTAGCATCCCTTTTCCGGAAAGGGGTGCCAATGTAGACACAGCCAAGGAGAGTAAAAGTGCTGGATTCTGGCTGTAATTGGCTGGCTGAGAATTCTCCTTTGAGAGAACCCCCCAACTGGTATAAAACCAATAGAGCCATGTCTCTCACCAACAGCCTCCTCTGGCCTGGAGTGCATGTTGAGGAATGGAAGATAACATGTTCAGAGAGGGATGAGTGGCACTCCACTTTGCTACATCGGTCTTCAGCTCACACCTGGTTCCTTGCTTAATTCTTGATGCAGCTGGCACAGAATCATCTCTGCCTCAATACACATTTCAATTCACTATATATGTATGACTTTTGAATATATTTATAAGTGTGTTTATAAAAACAGATTTCTGTATAAACTACACTGCTATCTGGTGAGTGAGAACAATGGTTCCTTACTCAGTACTTTTTCTGGCAGGATATAGTTTGGCAGTGGATAATAGTTAGGGCTCAATCTACACCACCTACTTTCAGAGAAACACTTTTTCAATACTGATAAAATGTATTTCAACCTTTTTATAACTGTCCAGAGCAACTAATAGAGACATGAGCATTTTTAAAAATCAGATTCTGGTTTTCTTTTGTCTACCATCAGTCTCTACCACTCCTGGGAAAAAAGGTAAAGATTCATGTGGGGGGAGAGGGTATAATTTGTTCTTTTTTATATTCCAGTTTTTAGGAATCTTATTTCAAAACAGTTGAACTTCCTTACCCATTGCATCCATTTAATTCATAAAACAGCTACTAGGCTAAAATACTTGTGTAAAACACATTTCTCTTAAGGGGTGTCTTACAATAAGTCTTCAGCTGTAAATTAGCAGAAATAGACCTTATTGCTCCAATCCATGTTGGAGCATGTGCCTGGAAATTATTGTTTAGAGACTGGTAATACATTTGCCTACACCATAGATCTGCCATATTGATTTGATAAAACACTACTGGAGACTTTAACAAAGTGAAAACAGATGCTCATCCCAAGTGTCCGTGTCTTGGTCCTTTTACATGTCAGGTGTGCTATCCATTTGACAGGATGCAGTGAAGTCTTAATTTTCCAACAGGAATAAAGAAAATTACTTTTCTTTCAAAAGGTTTTTCTAAAGTGCAGTTTTTAACTTAATTTATTTATTTATTTCTATAATATGGTTCAGAAAATTTAATTTTCTATGATCCAGGCTAAGTCCATTAGAGCCGACGTACATAACAGCAGCATACCTATAGTTTTCTGTTGCCAATGACCCTGTAGTTATTGCTAAACCCAGAGATGATCCAATTCTTTTTGAGGAGAATTATTGACTGTCTTAGAGTCTGCTGCTATAGAGAAGGGTCCAATGAAGATGGAAGGATTTGTTTCAATAAATTCACCTGACGTCTTCTTCAGAGAACAGTTTTCTCTTATTGATGTAATTTAGTAGGACTTAAAATGACAAGATTCATGTGCATCCTTCACAGTGTGAATTTGTTTCTCTGAGCTTTTTAGTTTCCTTGAATTTGAAATTGAGTTGTATAAAGCTCATTCTTATGTATGACAACCCAGTTAAGAGACAAGACCCTTTACCTAGAAAAAACTGTTCTTCTTCGAGTAGTGTCCCCGTGGGTGCTCCACTGTAGGTGAAGGGTTGCCCTGAGCCGCAGATCGGAGCTTTGTATAGCAGTTTCCCCTGTTGAGCCACACATGCCCAGGAGGCATCTCGAGCCCTTCCCGCCTCCTGAGGAGCGTGACTCAACCCCC